ACATGGTCGAAAAGAATCAGGATTCATATCTCGAATTTTAAAATTAAAGACGAATCCTAATAATAAAACGATACTGAATGATACAACGTGCCTCTGTATTTCCCCAGAATCGGGTCAAACCTCTGACAATCTATCTGCATTATCGACATAAATCGTGACAATCGTCATTACACACGAATAACTAATAATAATTCATCTAACTATTCAAGAAATATATTCTACATGGTCGAAAAGAATCAGGATTCTTATATCTCGAATTATAAAATTAAAGACGAATCCTAATAATAAAAAATTTCCTTAAATTTCCTCTAAATACAGAACCCGTATCCGAAAAATCCGAGAACTTTTCGATTCCGTCCTCCTTCCTTGCACTTGTTCGAAGATCGTTCGTATCCTCGAAGAAATCTCCAAACGTATATCAATATCACTTGAGGAGTGCAGGAGGGAACGAAGAAAACCGCCTGCTCCTCGATAGGAATAAAGGAAGGAAGGATCGCGTCACGGCAGCAACGCGAGCACAGTTTGTACAGCACTGTAAACAGGCTGGCTGGCGAGGTTACAGGGCGCGAGTAAATGGTATGTAAACCGTGGCTGGCTCACCCTTGGCCCCGGCCCCTCCCCCTCCCGCCCCCCCGCCCCCCTCGCGCTCCGCAAACTCCATTAAAACATTATCCACGTGCCGATGCGCTCGGAAAATCAGACGCGAGCGACCATCCTTCCTTCCTTCCTTCCTTCCCCCCTCCCCTCCTCCCGTATATTGATATTACGTCCCGGCATCATCGCGCGCGCGCGCGCGCGATCGACTACTGCCATCGGTTATGCATGCACGCACTCGAATCTCCATTTCGTGGGGAGGTCTACCTCTCCACCTCTCCCACGATCGAACACCCTCCCCTGTCGAACGTGGGAAGGGTATTCTCTCTCTCTCTCTCTCTCCTCTCTTTTCGTTCGGTTTTGTTTTCGAGGTCAAAAAGCTTGCGCACGCAAGCGTGTATTTTTTATTTTTATTCCCCCGGAAAACGGGGAAGAGAGTTGCAGGTTTTAGCTCGATTTTTTCTTTTCGTTAAGATTATTAAGGGATTGAAGTTATTCTTGATTTCTCTTTGGATCGATAGATTATTCGTATTGTGCTTCGAAGTGGTTCTCTTTGAGAGAGAATTTTTTTTTTTTTTTTTTTCGTTTAAATGTCTTTCGTGGAGGGGGGAGTAAAAATAATAGAGGAATCGATGAAATTCGACGTCGTGCGCCATCACCCTTCGATTCGTCCGTTGGAAAATTCGTTGTCGTGCGAAAAACCGCTGGCTCTGAAAAAAGGGAAAAGAGAGAGAGAGAGAGGGGAAAAAAGAATAGATAACAACAACGTATGGAGGGAAAAGCGATGAAACGTTTCGCGAAACGCGTTTCGTTCTTTTTTTCGACGATGTTTATTGAGACGACTGTATTGAAAATCGGATTTGGGAAACGGGTGATTTATTTCGAAAGAAATTTGAAATTGAATGGGAATTTACGTCGATCGGTGTTGATTCGATATTTTATTTTGTTAAATTTTTTTTCGTGTATATAATAATAAAGGAAAATATGTTTGCGTATGTGTGTGTGTGTGTGTTGAAATACACGTGTATTAATTCGATCAATCCATAATAAATTTTATTTAATTTGATGCGTAAAGATTATAGGTTCGTTACTCGGGCCTAAAAGATTAAAGAGCTCCCTTCTTTATGTCTTCGTTATAGTACGGGATCGTTGATGGATGTTGGGTTATGTGTGAGAGATGCGCGTGATGAATGTAACTGCTTCCCTTGAGAACGCGTTGATTTTTCCGTATCTGTAAGGCTAGAAAGCGTGGAAGAGGACAGAACCGAGCACGTAGCTCCATCTGTCGACGGCTCCGACTTGGGTTGGCAAGAAGGCTGCTTCCTTCGAAGACCCACGTTCACGAGTAGTCGAAAGAATGGTCTCTGAAGAAACATTCGTTTACGAATAGAAAAATCGATATATATTATAATATGATATTATAAAATATTCGTATATTACTAAATAATCCAATCAACGTAATTTTAATATTTATCGAAAGCATTGAGAAAATGGTTATTATGGATACGAATTATGGATACATTCGATACCACGAGATTATTAATGCACTTAATACCATCACTAAATCTCGCTACCCAATTACTTCTCGACCTCCAATCACAACGCTCATCAAAAACACCCAAAGATCCTCGGGAAACGGGCAAACGAGCCCGTTCAACCCATCCCCTGCCTACTCCTTCCTCTTACCCCTCCCCCAGGATAACAAAGACCCCCGTATTCATCAACCCTGAAAAAGCCCCTTTTAAAAAGTCCAAAGCACCCGTGCAACCCGGGTCCAATCATCCCAACCTCCTCCATCGTTCCAGAAACGATCTGCCTTTCCTCATCGCGATAGACCCTGACTGGTCTAGGTGGCGAGATCATCATCGCGGTTTAATTAAATCGAAAATCGGATAGTCATTAATGACAAGTGGCGCCCGATCGAGATGACTCGTTGATTTCTATTGATTCCCCCAGGTGGGACCGTGGCAAGGGCCTGCTCGTCATGGGGCCCGATACATCACGATATGATGGCACCTTAACGTTGGACAGCGACAATCATGGCCGACGTGTTCCCCGTCACAATGCTCCCTCTCGACGTTATCTGAAACAGAAAGGACGCGCGTAATGGATCATTACGTAGCCACCGCCACTTTCCCATCGTTCGCGACAATGAACGATTATCTCACGTTTTGGTTTCGAACCGCGTTGGTTGTTTGGGTTGAATGGCCTTTCGAAAGAGTAGTAGTATGAAATTACCTCGTTCACTTTTTTAACGCGACGCGAGAAGTTTGCGATAAGTCCAACGTATTCGCTGCGCTTCTTCCTCTCCTCGCCAACAGAGGGACACGTGCACGAGCGCTTTCCTGAAAGTACTCGCCCATTCCTTTATATATAAGTAACTTGTAATCCTATTCTTATTTCGATGTGGCAATATACTTGCCAGTAATGAGGAGTGTACCGTCCAACTTTTTTTTTCTTTTTATACTTTCGCGTTACATTATTACGACGTGATTTACACTTAATATGAAGAATCTTTTAATCGATACGTTCTTCGAAAAATGAAAATCGCTTTAATTTTCGTATCATTTACGAAGCAATTGAAACCAGATGTTATCGCGGAATGCATCTGCTCTGCAATTGGGAGAATCAAAGAAGACGGTCAAATCGGGGGACCCTGATCTTTTCGAGGCAAGCATATGTTCCATCGCGTTATATAACTTGAGAAACGTAACTATGCCCCGTTTAAAAGTAATAAAATAAAAATTCGTTCAATAATCACATCTTCGCCGTGATCATCGGCGGTGATCGTTTCAAATTCATCGGGGGAAAACGCCACGCATCGATCCTTGGTATTATCCGATTAAAATCCACCTAGCCTATAAATCATTCGATCGTTCGAGCATATCGATCGAGGCACGGATAGAGGCGAAGGCAAGGATTGACGCGTACATTTTCGATTAATGTTTTCGTCGTACGCGAAACCCGGCAACGATACCATCGAGAAAGAGACGGGGTACGGTTTACGGTGGGTACGATTGTGTGTGCATTTGCTGCGTGGTAAGAAGGTCCATAAACTTTCGTGTCCCGAGATAGGAATCGTCAGGTGCGAAAAGCGTGACGGTTCTGGAGGGAAAGCGCCTCGAGACCTTACGAGTCACCGTCCCGACGACTATATACGTCGGTGTCGGTGTCTCTGAGAAAGCAACGCGCACCGCTTGGCCCATCGTGTCCGCAGGCGTTTTCCCTCGTGAAACTACCTCGCGATCGTTCTACCGTTCCGACCGATGGATTGTTCAACGCTTGCACGATACGTAGAAAAGTTCGTTCGGACGAATTTCGAAATTGGAATTTCGATCCTTTCGTATTTAACGAATGACGAAATCTTAAATGAAAAGGAATATCAACTCTTTGTTTGATATATATACGGAATATTACAATTTTTGCTCGACCGAAAAATTGAGAAATCTCAGGTAGAAAGAATATTGCAAAAGTTTTTATATCGATTAAATGTAAGAAGGATCGATAGATACGTTAAATAATGAGTCGCTACTAGAATTCTACTATTATATTTAAAAAATACGTTTACAATTTAGTCATTATAGTTACATTTGTCCGACATTGTTCTCAAAGAAAACAGTCGTTCAGTTACTCGGTGTCGAATTCTCGAACTAAAATTTCCACCCAAGAAAACGAGCAAAACGAGCAAAATCTAATAATTGTCAAAAGGAAGATCGATAAATAATTGAAAGAAAAGCGAAGATACTCCTCGAAATTGCATCGTGGTAGCAAGACACGCATCGCGCCAGCAGCGATCGGCTGGTACGAAGCGAGACACTGTGGCGGCAGCAGCAGGTTGATGGATGCCGAGTCTCATGAGAAAATGGTGATGGTGGGGATGCATCGCGACCGGTCGTACATTCCAGCTCGCAGTATTGGTAGCAAGCAGAAGCGTATCGGTGTTAGTGGAACTATCGTCGCGGCGGCAGTTGTGCGTGTGCGTGTCGGTAACGGTGGCCCGTGACGTGGTGGTGTGTTGGTAACACACGACACAATGGTGGGGGCAAGTCCGGCGGTGATGGGGTGGGGGTAAGTAAGTACCCTCGGCGACCCTAGGTTGCTCGAGAACGATACCCGGAGAGACAGAAGCGAGAGAGACATACGGAACGGTCGGCGGAGCGGGCTAGAGGCCGCGAAACACAGGAACAAAACGAAAGGACAGCAACCGTGAACGAGAGTGGGTGGGGGGAATAGGTGGCGCGGGGGTGGGAGGTGCCACCGAGCGCGGTAGTGGGGGGGCGTTTGTCCACGGTCACCAACACACGCGCTAATCCGGCGCGCGGCGAGAAACGAACGAACGAACGAACGAACGAACGAACGTGGACGACTCTCTTTCTAACCCGTCTCTTTTCCACTGTGTGTTGCAGCGCTGGCGCGATTGTCGTCTAGTGGGGATGTCGTCTCCAGCCCCCGTGCCACTGGTAGGGAGGACAAAAGCGGCGGAGGGAGGGTAAAGCAGGCGACGCCGACGACCACGGTGACGACGACGACGACGACGACGACGACCGCTGCTGCCGCCGCGGCGTCCAGAGAAGGAGGCGGAGGTGGAGGTGGTGATGCAAGTGGCGGTGGTGGGGGCGCGGCACTCGGTGGGGGGAGCTGTGGTGGGGAGAGGAACGGTGGAGGTGGTGGTGGCGGTGGTGGTGGTGGCAGTGTTGGTGGTGGAGGCGATGTCGCGGAGAAGGAGGAGAGGCCACCGGCTTCAGAGAGTGTCGAGCCGACGGCCGCGTTTGACGTCGCATCCCTCGTACTGTACGGCTCGCGCGCACTACCGATCCGCCTTAAGATTTTGCTCGATCAGTTGTTCAACCAGTTGCAGCACGCGCAAGTGACACGTTTACTAGCCGCATTCGGCTGGACGTACGAGGATTACACGCGGGGATACATACTGCAGGTGAGTCGATCCACTTTCAAGAATCCGAAACGTCGTCACTGGGTTAGGAGAAAGAGAGATTGTCTTTGGTCGAATAGGAACGAATAGACACGGACTCGACTGGACTCGACTCGATACATACGAAGTGACGTATTACGGGACGTAATGTGCGCGACTTTGACGATCGACGGACATGACCGCGTGACAAAGTGATGTGTATGGATTAGAGTAGTAGAGTGGTCGAAGTTCAACGATTTTACCGATCGAATGGAAGGCAGTAGGGCGATGCACAGTGACAGCGGTGAATCGGAAAGCTCGCTGAGTCAAATATTTTGATGGATACAACGAAGAAATATGACAATGTGACGTTGATAGAAATAGAGCAGTGGAATAAGGAGTTCGATGACGAACAATGGACTGACAACGGAACTGACCGATCGATTAGGCATTGATTCCAAATATAATGATAAAATCGAATAATGGAGTAAAAAAAAGTGACAGGTATTCTAACATCTTTCACGTTGAGTTTACGTTTGAGTTTCGATCGAAGTTTATTGACGATTTCATCGATTCCCTTTCGATCACCACCATCGAAACGCAACGATTCGAAAGCGATGCAGTGTTCATCGATTCAACGATCAGTGATGAAACGAGGTGTCAAATTGTCGCGTAGTGTCGATCTTTCTTCGTCGATACAGTGTCTTCGAATCGAATCGATTCGTGATTCGAACGCAACAAGCAGAACATCTCTGTGAATCTAATGGAAAAACGGAAAGAGAAGACGGAGTGAGGAAAAAATATCGAAGGAACTGTGTTTGAAAGTGAGCCGTGAAGAAGTGCATGGTGTGCCCGTTGCGCGATCACATGGAAGTAGCGATGAGAATTTCGTCGAGGCAGTGATAGACGAAGAAGAAGATAGCGTCTAAAATGTGCAAAGATCGATGGATTCGGCCGAATTTGGGTGATTTTTTTTTCGAGTAAAAGACTGATTTTATTCTTCCGATTTTTCAAAGACTGTGAAACTGTTGTTCGTGTGCTTTTTTTTTTTTTTTAAGTGTATACGCAGGAAGAAAAACAGAAATAAGGAAGTTTCATAATTAATTAATTTGGTATAATACGAAAGGATTGAAAGTTCGGTGGGTGCGCAATTGAACTGACAGTGATGGACTCGAAGTGTCGCGACTTATGATTATCCACAAACTTTATAAAAGTCCTTCGATTCGGAGAAAATTTCCTCGTTACTTTCAACATTTTTCTCCTTTTTTTTTTTTTCCCTCCCCAAAAATTGATATTTTCGTTTTCGTTTTCGTTTAGTGAAATTGTCAGTGACGAACAGTCTCGCAGTGATCGCCAATCTGACTAACAAAATTTCTCAGATCCAAAGATTTTTTTTTCTTCTTTTTTTTCCATTCCTTGAAAAGTGATTATGACAATCTCCTTCGATTCTCAAATTTTTTTTCTTCGTACGTAGTGGAATTACGAATGATGGACAAAAAGTGTTTGCGACGTATGATCCATGAAATAACTTTCTTCTGATTACATCAAACTTCTTTTTTTACTTCCCAAGAATTTAATCGTTATGGAATTATCAGTCGTGAGCACTTTTCCTTAATTTTATAATTTTTCTTGTCGCATAGATAACTGTCATTGAAGCATAACGCCCGATCATCAATCGATTTTAAGAGAAATACCTCATACTTGTGTTGAACGGATAATTCAAGATAGGTCCACCGCGATTCTCACATTCCAGAGAACAGATATTTTTTCTTCTATAGAATAACAAATATCGAGAGAAGAATATTTCCACTTTTATTCACGTGACATCGCGATGAATTTATTTTCATCAGGGACCTTCGATGAATCGAAGAAACCTTTCTTTTCATTCGCTCGAAAAAAACACGAAAGAAGAAAAAAAAAGAAAAAGAATTTGATAAACAAAATCGATCTCTTCCTCGCTGAGAGCAAACACGAAATTCGAATTCCTTCGTTCGAAAACGCATCGAAAAACAACGACAAATCCATATACCAAAGAGTTGCACAAAATCGATCTCGCGAACCATCGCACGGAACAAGATCGATCGCGATCTTGGCCGTCGGTCGTTCGATCGATCTATCGATCGATCGGTCTATCGATCGTGGGACCAAAGAGGTTGGACGGAGGCTGCCGCCGCGTTTCTGGGAAACGCGCGCTTCGAAAATACGCGCGCCACGGCCGCGTATATTAATCTCTTTCTCTCTCTTTCTCTCTCTCTCTCTCTCCTCGTTTCGATCGGCGTGGCGGCCGCTAGCGCTAGAAAATGGCCAGTATCCGTGTAAACTGAATTGCGCCGATGTCAGCGTGAAATTAAAACGTATGGAGAACCGGTTCTCGCGGCGGTGTAGCGTGCGTGCGCGCGCGCGCGCGCGCCTGTTCCGTGCTCGTGCCTCCGCGAATTTCATCGATGAATCCCGCGCGAAAATCCTTCTCTCGATTCGAGAAAGGACATGGAAAAACAAGAAATAAAAGAAGCGTGCAAGAAAACTCGCGTGGTAGATCTCAGAAGCGGAGGAAGCGTAGTCTTGGATGATGGTTTTCGGTTTCGAGCGAAGGAAGACGAATAAGAAAAGCTTTTCCTCTGATATATTTTTCGTGATTATTATGATCGATCGATCGATCGATCGATCGGAAAAAAGGATTAGGATGTGGCGTAAGAATCGAGGATAAATTCTTCTATTATAGTTCTTTTATGGAATCGCACAATTAATTAAGAACATGTTAAAACTTTCTTCCTTAAAGCTTGTGGCCTTTTAATTCGAGTAAAAATGTAAATAGGAATGTTTGAGGATATTTTGGTGAAAAAAGAATCCATTTCTTCGTTCGTGCTCGTGTAAAATAAACCTGTGACGAATGTTTGACATTTTTTTTTTTTTTTTTTTTTTTTTTCCCCTCCCAATTCGATCGAAGCGACACGTAATCGCGTGTTATTTTCTCGGCGAGTGTCGTAGGTCGTTGCGGGCCGAAACTGGCGGAACGTGTCGAGAATACGAAAGAGGGAGGTTCTGGAGCGGTTTTTCTGCGGCTTCGAGCCCGAGGGCGTCCCCGAATCACGCTAACGGGTGATTACGATGCCGACGATTTCCTTCAAACGTTCTATCCCCGATTCTAAAACCCATCGACGATCGACCCCCCGAAAAATTGTCAATATTTGCCAATTGTTGGTGAAATAACATTACGAATCGTATTCAAAGATACTTTTCAACCACGTAACCCGAAGTGGAAGAATTGTAAATTTTCATTGGTGAAGTTGTACAGTAAAATTCGAAGTAAAATTTCGAAAGGCGCGATCTTCGTTCGCACCTACTTTGTGATTACCCGTGAACAGTGCCCGAAGTGGAATCCTCGAAGTGGAAAAATTGTCGATTATAATCGGTTATTGGTGAAATTGAAACAAATTGAAACATTCAAAAAATATTCTTCGTCACACGTATCTAATTACCTCGAATATCAAATCTATTAACGTGCAGAGTGAGGAAAAAAAATTATCAATTTTCGTCGTCTATTGGAAATTATACTCGCTCGAAGATATTCTTCCTTTGTTATTAGACCTAGTTTGGATATAAGAAATTTATCCCAGTGCCCAGAGTGGAAAAAAAAAAAAAAAGAATGGTCTATTTTCAATGGAACAATTTCGATAAAGTTTACGATAATTAGTCGATAAGATATTTTTCTTCGTGCTGGAGAGGAAAAAAAGATAATCGAAACGATCGAAGTGTGGTCAAGAGATCATTAAATATAACGATTCTATTAATACTTTCTGGAAGCTATTTTATATATATATATATATATATATCTTGTGCAATTATTTTCGAGAGGTTCGTGTTCGAGTTACGTCACAAAGCTTACGTTTTTTTTCCTTCTATTAAAAGCCGTGTTAAAAGAAGAATCGAGTTTGGAAAGGTGTCGCGACATGGTTGAGAGAAAGAAATTCGTGGGACGCCTCGTACCGATGGTTAGCGGTTGAACGAGAAAGTACCATAGGATATTTATACAGGTTTAACACGCGAGACCGAAGTTACATTTGATACTTTCACCGATGCCGATGCATCTTCGCCAATTCGATCGAGACTTAGCACGCGTCCGAAATTTCGAATTCCAATTAAAATGGCACGGTTTAAAGTGTGACGTGAAATAATTGATTCCAAGTTTCGTGTTTCCTCACGTTTCATCCCCCCTCCCGAATAAGTCAAATTAAATAGCGCGATAGATAAAACTATATATATAGAATAATTTTGACGTAATTGAAACGTGACTGAAAAAACATTTTTTTTTATCGTGGAAAAATATATAAATATAAGTATAAGATAAAATGAGTATTGTTTCAAGAAACTGTATCGTTCGAGTTTAAAATTGAATTATTTTTAATTTGAAATTTTTAATAATAAGCAGTGATGCTCGAGTCATCCGATAGATGGTAGAACTATAGAGCAAAATGGTGCACGTTATAATTGATTACGTAAATTATACGTAAAATTGTTAACAGAGAAAAAACTAGGTAACTTGTCGTTTGACTCGAATCTAATCTAATTGTCGTTACTTTCGTGAACGTGTAATACATTATTCTACATTTAAAATCATAACTTCAATTACGTTTGATCGTTGTTAATATCTCTAATATCAATTTTCATTCGTAACTTTTCTTCTTATATATTAACTCGTCACGATATTTTTTACTTATAATTTTAATTATAAATTAAAGTTTTTCTATTCTTCAATATATAGAGTCGATCGATGACACGAATCGAGTTCACTTTGTTAAACAAATTTTTTTTAATTCGATTAACGACAATCGGACAGAAAATCTCGTAAAAAAAAAAAAAAAAACGAAAGAATAAAATCCTTATTGACAAGATCACAGACAGAAGGTGACTCTATCTCCCTATCTCTTTCAGCCAATTGACAGATCCATAATTGGACTCGCCAGTTCCTCCTTTCAATAACGCGAGATAATTCTTCCTGAATCCTCGATTCAGTCGCGATATTC